AACACTTAGCATTAAGGACCTCAGGTGCTTACAATTCCCAGACATTTTCACAAGCATCACCCGAGATAGTCCTTATTCTGACATTGGTGTTTTATGTGGAAAACAATAAAGAGATAATAAAAGATTCAGTAAACCAATTCAAAACACTGAGGTTCCAAGATAATTTATTAGTCCTATAGTTTACATTTTTTAAAACTCTGTAAGCATACCTCCTTTGACACATAAAAATAATTTACTCAAATTTTCTTTTCTATAGACTTTGTACATGTGATGCTCCTCATAACTTTTAAAAAAATAGTAACCACACAAATAAATAAGATTTTCTCAATTTCCTCCACAGTCCTGGCTTTAAATGACAAAAAGCAAGAACACTCCAAATTTCTTAGCACATGATGTATCAAAATAGAAAACAAATCAGTCTTGGTTTCACACTAGAAAGTGAGCAGGACGTGCTACTATCTGCTCTGTGAAATCAATTCACACCAAACCACTGCGTGCAGCTAGAGAACAAGATCACTTGTAGTCTGGTTGATGGCACCATCTACTGCACTGTAACAGTATTGTAATTTACCCTCAAAGGCATTATTTATTTCCAAGAAAGGCTGCTGCACAGGATCTTCTACCACATAAGAAAAATAGCTATCTATGGATTGTGATAAATGGAAAAATGTGAAAAGCACCAATACTATGAATATTATTTGAAATTTATACAGTGCTTTCAGGTTTGCAAAGTGCCATACACAACATTTCATTTGATCTTCAAAATACCAGACAGTTGATTTAATAGTTTATAATATTCACCATGTGACTACTTTGTGTCAGGCACCATGCTAAATGCTGGAAATACAAATACAAAAAGAACAAAAAAAAGTCCTTCCCCTCAAGGAGTTTAAAATCTAATGAAGACAACACACAAAAGTAAGCTGAAACAGGGGTCAGAGGGAAGGTATTCAATGATCTGGAACATGGTGAGAAGTCAGAGATATCCCAAAATAGTGCAGCCAAGTAGGAAATGAGAAGTTTTCAGCTGAGCTCCTTTCTTAAATGGAAGTTTTGGAGTTCAGGGCTTCACCCCCTCAACGAGAGAGCAGAGGGTGGTGAAGAGGCAGAGTACCTAGTCTGGTAAGATCTCATAAGATGAAGAGGTTTTACCAAAAATGAGTTTTCTTGAGCATGATGGAGAAGTCAGAGAACTACCAAAGTAGTGCAGCCAGCCGATTTTATAGATGAGGAAACTAAGGCTTAGAAAGGGTAAATGATTTGCCTATGGACTCTTAGGTAAAAGTGTCAGAGGCAGTACTAGAACCCAAGTCTTTCAGATTTCAAGTTCAATGTGCTTTAAATAGGAGGGGAAAACCAACACAAAAAAAAAAAATTATTAAGCTAATACAATGTACCAAACTCAGTGGACACAGCACAGAAAAAATAAGATTTTTCTCCTGAGCTTACATTGTAACAGAAGGTAACAAATATAGGGGAAGGGAACGGTATTGTGCTCTAGGAAGTCATAAGGTGGCAAACTGAGTCACAGGGCAATTTACTGACACATGTAACAGAAGGAAACAAATATAGGGGAAGGGAACGGTATTGTGCTCTAGGAAGTCATAAGGTGGCAAACTGAGTCACAGGGCAATTTACTGACACATCCTTTTGAGGAACGATAGGACAGTGTTGATTCAGTTAGCATTCCCAGAATAAGAAGAGGAAAGGAAGGGATGTGAGTGTTGGCAAGGCAGAAAAAAAGGCAGGAATAAAATGTGGCCTTTATGTAACACTAGGCTGCATTTCATGACATGACACTGCCTCTTAAATATCTGATTACTAAACCATGGTATGTCTGGTGCTCAGTGATACTAATAATATAACAGGTCAGAAGTAAACACTTGATTCCCTCCCCTAATATTTATACTCAAAGATGCCATGCTATTTGTCAGAGCTCTCTATAAATTTGCAATGGTAACATGTTCAAAATGAAAACCCAAAGGCTCTGGAGTATCTTAAATGCCTTCTTAAAAGAAAGGTAAAATTTCCTTCAGCCTATGGATATAACTCAGAATCAGGAAGATACATTTTTCTGAGTTCAAATCCAGTTCCAAACACTTATTTAACTGTGTAACCCTGGGCAAGTCATTTAACCCTATTTGCCTCAGTTTCCTCATTTTTAAAATTAAGTAGACAAAGAAACGGCAAATTATTCCAGTATCTTTGCCAAGAAAATTCCCAAAGAAGTCATGAAGAGTCAGAAGGGGCTGAAACAATAACAAAAGTTCAAATTAACTCTTTCCCAACGTAACAGAGAGCTGACTTGTAATTTGAGCCACATAATCAGCACAAGTATGAGAGGGTGTATAAAAGTGTCATGAGCTGGTCAGGCTTAGAGGGAGTTACCTTTTTGAGACTGATACATCATTAAAGAATGTTTAAAAATAAGAGGTTAGATACCTTTTTAAGTGGTAAGGATAAAGCTAAATCTAGAGCAGCAATATGGGACAAAGGACAATGGAAAGAGTATTAGATCAGTCACTTGGGGTAAATCAAACGGGGCTCAATTCTTGGCTTTGCTGGCTATATCTGGCTGGCCTTGGGCAAATGACTAAACTTCTCTGGACAATGTCGTTCAGTTGTCAGTTTTTCAGTTGTGTTTGACTCTTCATGACCCCATTTGGGATTTTCTTGGCATAGATACTGGAGTGTTTTGCCATTTCCTTCTCTAGCTCGTTTTACAGATGACAAAATTGAGGCAAACAGGGTTAAATGACTTGCCCAGGGTCACACAGCTAGTGTCTGAGACTGGATTTGAACTCATGAAAGTAAGTCTTGGGTGGCAGCGCCAACACTTTCCTGGGGTGCTGTTGGCAACTCCAGGACCCTTCTCCCTGACCCTAGCCTCTTTGATCCACGCCCCATTATCTGTCTTACCCTTACGTGTAAGAAGATTGGAAAAGTCACAGGGATGAAGCTAGAATCTTTGGCTTCAGAAACAAAAGGCTAACTGAAGAAATTGCAAGACTGGAACAATAGAGAAAAAACAAGTCAAATGAATCAGGTATCACTAAGAAAATTGAAATCATATTTAGAAGCAGTTATTCATAAGTACTAGACATATATGAACAATTTGGAGTCTTCTTCCACCATTCTTGACCAGAAATTAGTCTCAATGAAGAAGCTCCTACAACAGAACTAGAATTAGAAGCAATAAAGAGAAGCCCAGATACAAAATATTATTGATATCCACAAGCATTCAATTGCCAACATAGAGAATACATCATGAAAGAAATTTATTCCAGTAAACCATCAAAAAATTAACCACAGAACTAGAGACAGAACAAAAGCAGTTATAGGATGAGAAACAAAAATATGCTAGAAGCAAAGAAATTGACTGAAGCACAACTTGCAGAATATTACAAACTTGAAAAAAATTAAATTTAAAAATTCAAAAATTCAAAATTTCAAAATTTAACCTCTTTGGAATAAGAGTAAAGAGAATTCCAAAGGTTATGACTTTGAAATTAAGTTTAATCCTGACACTGGTGCAAATTATCCTGTCTAATAAAGGATTCAAGTCTATTTACCACTTAGGAGCTTGTGAACCAAAATGAAAAATAAATAAGCAAAATTCTACATTAAAAAATAGTTTCAGAAGAGACCCTAGAACAAGGGAACACTATGGTAATAGAAGTGAAGAGTAGTATAAAAATGTTAAATGATGAAATCCAAAAATGAAGGATCTCAAACAACAAAAGAATTAAGAAAGCTGAAGAGAAAGACAGAAAATGTGCCATTGAAGTAAAGTCCCCCCCAAAAACACATGAACATTTACTTGAAAGTAGAGTTAATGAGGGCCTCAGTGAAGCCGTGAATGAACTGGATAACATTCAACAGCAATACCAGCTGGTGTTACAAATGACAACTGAAGAAAGACAAAAAGTGAGCAATAACTTACATCATCTCCTAGAAATGGTTGCTACCCATGTCAGATCTCTTGAAAAGTACCTTGAAGAACACTATTAGGGTAGACAGAGTGTGAAAGATTCACTGCTGAAGATTTCTTGGAAAATATTTTTTTAAAAATTGTAGAAAAGTCCAAAAAAAAAAGCTACTTTTTCCAGTGAGTAAAGAATTTTGCTTATTACCATATTATAGACAAAGACTTCACCTCTTATTTGTTTTTATTTTTTGGGTTTTTTTTTTGTTAGGCAATGAGGTTTAGTGACTTGCCCAGGGTCACAGAGCTAGTAAGTGTCAAGTGTCTGAGGCCTAATTTGAACTCAGGTCCACCTGACTCTGGTGCTCTCACTGCAGCACCTTGTTGCCCTAGTATCTAAGTTAATAGATCTCAATGACTGTCTGTTACATGAAGAGCTCTTTATCACTGTACTGAGTAGGTAACCCTAACTGAGTCTGTGATAATAATCAAAGTTTGTCATATACATTCTATTGATATAGAGCTGCTAACATTCAAATACTCAATTTGGCCGATGAGGGAATTCCATTCAGGCATCTCCATTTATCCATCACTCCCCATCCTCCATCAACCTTGAACCCCACATTATTTAGGATTCTGAAAGGGCAGGTTGATCTGTTTAAACAAATGGAAAAACTGCAATGTTTCAAAGGATCAATTGAGAACTGCCACAACCTCCTAGTACACTATAAACTCTAATCTCTGCAGCAGCTTAATCAAGCTGTTCAGCCAAAGATCTCCAATCTGTGCAATCTTATACTTTGCCTGGCTTTAGCTAAAAACTCAGGGACACAATGAGACCACATTGAGAATATCCACCTCATGATCCTTAATGAGGGCTATCTTTCTAATGCCACAGGGAAGGTATACTTGTTCTTACTATAAGCTTATATGTAGCTGTATATTTTGTGTGTGTATGCATATGTATATTTATTCTGATGGGTCTAAATAAATGTTTTTGGGATTTGAAAAAAACAAAACAAAACAAAACAAAGTCTTTCTGACTCCAGGCCCAGCACTGTATGCACTACACCACCTAGCTCTCTAGTCAGTTACCTCATCTTTAAAAGGAGGGGGTTGAATTACATGACTTCTAAGGTCCCTTCTAGCACTTAATCCTGTAAGCAGGGTCCATTGTACTTTAGCTTACAAGGCTGAAAAACAGAATTGGGTTGGGAAGGGACATGGAGGACAGAGAAAGGATAGACAAAAAGATATGGTGAAACAGTAATTCCATAAACTGTCATATTTGATATTCAATAACCTAGACAGACGGGAGACTGAAGATTAGATCATTAGAAACAACTCCAATTAAAATTTTAAAGCAACCAAAATATTCATTTTAAGAAGCTGCATGGGAGAGTTAAGGAGATATTGCTAATACATTTTTTTAGATGGAATAGGAATCTTTTTTCCTTTCAAGCAGGAGGTGAACTGGCTGAATACTCCAAGTGAATGTCTAGACTTCCATACAAAGTATGAAGCACATTAAGGACCTTTTCTTGAATAGTATCAACTTGCTCAGAAGGACAGTAGTCATCCAAACTTGACCTGTAACCAAAATTTGAATAAAATTACATATAGCTGAAGAGGGAGAAGGCTAACAAGATAAAGCCAATGAACTTTACAATGATGAAAGTCTGCCTGTGCTTTGTGATTACACTGTTAGAATTTTAAAAATAAATCAGTCCTTCCTGGAATTCACTAGAGAGGAGGGTAGGTGCATTTTATTTTGAGAGTACTTTTGTCAATTCTAACACATATGCTGTGGGTTTATGTTACTTAAAAAGCAAAAAAAAGTATAATTAGAACAGTGATTTTGGTTTGTGTTCAAGACAAAAAGCTGGTGAAGTCTGTGAACTTTCCAGAGAGCACAAAGAGAAAAAAACCAGGCACAGGAAAACACAACTTGCTACTTAGTAACTGACTTCATACCTTAAAAAAAAAATCCATTGCTTAGCCCTAGACTAAAGGAGTAAGTGGAAAGAAAAGTATAAAAATCTCAAAGCAGCTCCTCTATGACAATGATCTTCCTATATCTATCCCAGCACTGATTGGCCTTGCCTTGAGAATGAACCCATGACTACCTTCTGCTGTAGAGCACAATGACAGAGGATCAAATAGCAAAGACTGAAATCAGGCAAAGGTTTTTGTTTTGCTTTTCTTTTTGGGGGGAGGAAAAACAAGGGAATTACTTGGGCGGGTAGTTTGTTTGCAATGCTGAAAAACTTCTGACTAAAAAGTTTAGGAATCTAGCATGTCTAGCCTTAACTCTGTTCACCATTATGCAAAATTTGTTAGATAATGAAACCAATAAATAGACAGTAAAAGTCAATATCAGGAACATGTTACATAGATATTAGCAGTTAATAATCCTGTGAATTTACTCTTCAGGAAAAGAAAAAAATAATTTAGTGAGTCTTACCGGGCAATGGTCACAAGAGTAGGCTTTGGCAAGTTTTTAAGTAAATATTTTAGAGACTGTACAAGACACTCAATTTCTTGTTCTGTGCTGATATGGTGAGGAAGTTCAGAATAATCACAGGTCAGACCAGCCTGATGCACCTAACATTAAAAAAAAAAAGCCTTTAAAACGATATCTTTTCAAATGTTAAACCTTTTTTCTTTAGCATTATTATATTAAAACTTTTATTTTTTATACATTTCTAAATATAGTCCTCTTCCTTTCCTACCTGGGGGAAAAAAAAAGTTCAGCAAAACTAACCAACACATCAACTGAGTTTTAGAGCATATGCAATATTTGATACTCTGAACTTCCCATATTTGCAAAGAAGAGAGGTAGAGAGAGGTCTGCTTTCAAACAATTTTATATTCACTAAAGTCTTTGCATAGAGGTGATAGGAATTTTGTCAACAGCAATTCATTTTAATTTTTTAGGATAATAGATTTAAAGCTCAACTCTCTCTCATTCTGTAGTTGAGGAAACTAAAGCAGAGATGAAGTGATTTGTACCCAGGGTCACAAGGCAAGTAAAAAGTCTGAGATGAGATCTGAACCCAGCCCTACCTAACTCCAAGTCTAGCACTCTACCCACTATACCAAAAGATTTCAAACTTTTTCAGTCCTACAAAAATATATGAATATGAAGACAAAGAACAAATTCCTAAGAATGGTATATTAAAGGGTCAATCAAGCTGTATGATTCTGTGTGCAATAATTTCTACTTTAAAGAGTAGAGACTTTCATTAGCCCAAGTCTAGTCAATGAAATCACATTCTGAGCTGTATTCCAACAAACCAAGTAGACTAACTGAAGTTTATTGGGGGGGGGGAATGAGGGTGAGGGGCAGGGAGGATGAGGAAGAGGCTGATAACTATTTACCAATAAGAGTGCCTCATTTTCGTACTTCACTGCTTCGAATACTGACTTGTGAAAAAGGATACCTACTAGTAATCACCTCCTTTTTTGTGTATTACAATGAAAAACTTTCTACATGGAAACAAAAATGTGGTATAGGCATCCCCAACATATTGAGAGGATATGCAAAGCCAAATGTGTTGTATTTCTATATCATATAAAAATTTTGAACACCAATGATTATGAAAAATTTTCTGATTAATGGAAAATTAGAGATTCTATTTCTCATTAATTTTTATTTCTTTTTAATTCGTTTCTCTCAATAATTCATTCATACTTCCAAGGCAGAGAAACCAGTGAATCATTTGATAAAGAGCCAATCTCCCCTCTCCACCCCCCCCATGCTTTATAAAAGGCTAATTTATATTTCTCAGATGAAAATATTTACCATCTCATAGTCTGGTGTTTCTGTCCGGTTTTTCAAACTCTGAACAAGTGCAATTAAGGACCCCATTCTATAAAAAAGCACACCCCCCCAAAAAAATCCATAAGTACACAAACACCATACACATCTTAATAAATCACAATGGGAAAAGACAAATTCTACTTAAAATTTTAAATTAGGACCATTTTACAGTATGCTTGTAGCATGAAGGAAAAAAGCTGTTAATATCTTTTCATTATGTTTAAACTTAATCTGTTCTCTATTTAATACCTTAAGACTATAGAATATATAGACAGGTGAACAGTTACACTTCTAATCCCTTTAAGTTAACATTCCATTGTACCTTTAAAAAATGATTTTTACCCACAACAAATGTGATAAAAGGAAAAATAAACACAGGTTTCCTAAAATATATTTTAAAATGACAATTTACATTCAGCAAAATCCTAAAAAAATTTCTCTCTCAACAAGTACAGCCCTTTTATTTTTTCCATAAGATAAAATTCTCAAAAGGTAAAAAACCACAGTGAAAAACTTAATCATTTAATTTAATCTAGATGGAAATCTATTTGATAATCTCTCCCAGCCTCTAAAAGTAAAAAGGAGTATGGTAATAATAGCAGTAAATACTCCACTCCTCTTCACTTTACTCTACCTAGAAACAATTATAACACTTGGAGTTACATGCCCAGTACTTCACATTTACATCCTGGATTTTTCCTTTCATTATACCCCCAATTTCTGCATTCAAAATAACACTTACAGAAAATTACAAGATCTTTGCAGTTAGAAAAGTCCTGAGAGGTCATTATAGTCCAACCTACATCTGCAAAAGACAAGTGCTCATGCAGGGAAAGGAACCCTTGCTTCTAAAGGCAGCTCATTCCATTTCTGGATGGTTCTAAGCAATGAAGTGTTTTCTTCCATCAAATCTAAATTTTCCCCTTTCCAATTTCTACCCCTGGGCTCCTACTTCTGCTCTCTGGGGTCAAATCAAACAAGTCTAATCCCCTTTCAATGGGACAGCCTTTCAAATGCTGAAAGACAGTTATTACATCTCCTTTACTCCAGGCTAAACATCCCTAGTCTCTTCAATTGTATCCTCAAATAATGTGAACTCAAGGCCCTTCACAGTCCTGGTTGCTCTCCCCAAAATTTTCCAGTTTATCAATGTCTCAATTGCCTGAAACGTGGCATCCAGAATAGAAAAATGTATTCCAAATGTGATGTGACCATGACAGAATACAGAGAACTATATGGCAAAATGTTATTTAACTGGCTGTTTCCAACTTAATGGAAACTGATGTACATTTCACAGGATCATAGAATTTAGAACTAGAAAGGCTCTTAAAGGTCATTCAGTCCAACTTCCTAATTTTTTAGCAGAGGAAAATGAAGCCCAGAGAGGACAGTTGGCTCAACCAAGACTGCCTAGATAATAACTAACATAGCTTAGAGCCTAACCAGGTTTTCTGATTCTGAATTCAGGGCTCTTTTCAGCTAGCCTATGCTGAAGAAAAGTCAGAATAATCCCCCATTCTCCAAACAAACCAGCAACTAAAGGCTTAGTAAATATAAACATGAGATCATTACGCCTTAGATTTTCAATATATAATAAAAATTATGTTTTAAAATTCAACAGGCAAGAGACATTTCTTCCAATTCATTACAGAATCTGCTACTGAGCCCCTAAACCTTCTCCGTTGGTCCAAGAAAATGACAAGGAGTAAATGTAAAGTTAACTTGAGAGTTCATTATAGTTCAAAAAAGGAACCCTGAGTCTAGGGATCAGAACCACCTAATTTTGTCTTTTACTTCAGCTTGATGCCAAAGCAACCCTTCTGACTATGTCCTGCATCTCATCTCCTCTTAACGACTTCTCTTTTATTCCTTCTCTTTCTCATCTACTGTCTTCTTCTGTGCTACCTACAAAATACCTCACTTGCCCCTACCTCTCCTTCAAGACACTGTCCTATTACTCTCTTCCCATTCACATCCACACTTCTAGAAAAAGCTTGTTATGCCTGCATCTATCCTCCTCCTCACATAATTATTTCTCAATCCCTTGTAAGATGGCTCTAAATCACATCAATAGACTGATACTCTTCTTTCCAAGATTACTGACAATCTCTTAACTGCTGCAAATGTTAACCTTTTCTTACTCTTCAACTTTCCTGATCTTTTGACACTAACCACCCTCCCTCTTTAACAGTTTCTTCCTCCTTAGCTTCTATGATCCTGCACTTTCTTATTTTTCTTCCTATCTCTATGAGCCCTCCATCATCCTCTTCCTCCAGCCCCAGTAAGTGTGGGCATCTTCCCTTTAAAGCCTTCTCACTCTCACTCCCTTGGTGACCCATCAGGTCCCCGTGGATCCACTGAACCAGTTTTGTGCAAGCGACTGTCAAATCTATATTGCCAGCCCTCCTGAACTAATCTCTTCTCCAAATTTCCAACACAGAAGCTGCAATGGCAGCTGTCCCACCTATATCCTTCCTTTGTCATTCTGGCTCATTGGACCCTTGGAGCTCTGAATCATCTAGGCTTCCTGTAACAGCTCCTTTGACTAACTGGCAAGGGAGTTTGGAGATGATGCTACCCAGCAAAGGATGACACTCCCTTCTCCCTACTTCTGATCTTGGGCATGTGTGCATGCGTGTGTGAGAAGGCGATACATATTGAGATAACTATTATACACCATTACATAATAACTACATCAGAAAGGTTAAGAATCTAGATCTCAAACAAGTCAACTGTAATCAATATTTTGGGAGTCCCTTTACTTACTTTCACAAAATATGAAAGAACAAATATATTTCTCAGTTCACTGAAGACACAGAATACATACTAAAGATGCTGATGATGCCAATAACAGAGCTACAAATAAGTCATCAACATTTAACAGGCAGTAATTTTTATATTTTGAGTTTTCTTCTAAGCTACTTAAAGAAAAATAATCAGTATTTTTATGATGCTAGCTTGAAACAGCGCTGATATAAAAAGAGAAGAAACTTTTCCCCTTATACTGATGACACACTTCATAATGGCTCCTTTTTAATCTATGGACTTAACAAGATGTTTGAGTGGTGAGGGCTTTGTCAGCACAGGACCCCTGGGGAGGCCCTGCTCTATACTTTTCAAGATGCAGTTCCCTCAGCAAGAAACAATTTTTTTTCCAACTGTAGAAAAATTTACCGTTATAACAAGTTTTACTTTTTTAAACCAGGCTAACGATCTACACATATAAGCAACATGAAAAAAAGTTCTCCAGAAGATGCCAGGAGCAATAAAGAACCACCCCCCCACCTTAATTCTCACCCAGGATTTGAAGCCCATCTCTGTACCGTTTCTTCATCGTCACCATCACACAAGTCTGCAAATGCAGCTTCTAAATCTTCCAGCTGATGAACCCGACTTTCCACACAGTCTACCAAGCCCTCCTTTAAGAATGGAGTGTAAACACTGTAACTGATTTCAGAATTCAAAGAAAATCCCATTACAATGCAAATTTCAGTTCCACAAGAAAGGAAAGAGAGGGAAAGGATTCCTAAACTCCAACATAAGAATGACTTGCTTAAATTAATAAAAAAGAGCATGGGCAGTCCCTAGGAAGTTGTCAACTTAATAAGCTTCCAGTCATTCATAACATAGGGTCTTAAAGTGTTTTCTTTTTTTAATCTTCCCCCTCTCCCAAATAAAATTGGCATACCTCTGTCAGCTCTGTATCTGGCTTTTTAAAACTGTATAGTTCTTTTAAGAGCTTGTATTCTTCCTGGAAGACAAAACAAGCCCCCAGGGGAAAAAAAAGATATGTATTAAAGTATAAAACAGTTTTACAGAGAAAAACTTCTTTGGATGACTCTTTAAAGGTTATTCTAGAAAAGTCAGATGAGAAGTGATCTTCAGATTTTTACTCTAAATGGTCCAATCCTTTTCAGGGATTCTTCACAAATGATTATTATTGGAACAATGAATATAAATTAATTATGTACAAATACTTCCTGAAGCCTACAGAGTAATAAAAGCAAGTATTACTCTGAAGCATAAAATCCCTTAATTTAAATATTTTTAACTGTTCATAAATTTTACAACACAAATATTTTAAACAAGATACTTATTCATCATATAGAGATTTTCCAGATACCAAGCCGAACTTCTAAGAGCATATGAGAAATCTTGGGAGAAAAAAGGCCAGGGTATAGGATGTATTTCAGTCAGTGAGCTCCTATACACACAGGGACTGATGTCTACTGCAGTTTTATGAAAGACTGAGGGAGAAAAAGTCCTCCCACTATGTGCTCAAGTGCAAGACTGCCAGACCACACCACTTACACAGCAGAGCCTATGTGGCACCATAATCCCACTTGGGAATATGGGCAGCAGAAAGGGCCTTAGAATACATGTCCAAGCATTCTCTACTATGACGGCTCTCTAAGGAGTTCTGATTGCTACTTAGAAATTTCTGATAGCTGCTGGTCACAGAGGCCATTGGCTCCAGGTGAATGATTCTCCACTTGAACACAACATACGTCTGGTTCCAGCAGAGAAATGGGGAGAGCTGTAGATAGAAAATTTTCACCTTTTTTTGTAGTTCCAGAGGGCATGATGCACTGTGCTCTATAGCAAGAAGGGGAAAATCAGGATGATGGATATTAGACCAACACTGAATATAAGCCTGTATTATAAAATCTTAGTGACCTTTAATGTTACACCAGAGTGTTCTGTCATCTAAGTGACTCATAACTGCTTCCTATGTATATTCATGGTGTAAAACAGTAAAATGGAGCACTGATATATATATGAGTATTTTTGGCTTCTGACAATTCAAGTTATAGATTAAACCACCTCTCCAAACATTAAATTTAAATTCTAAATGGGATACAAATAATATGTGATCCTTAAAAAAAAACTCATTAAAATTTAATGGCTTCCCTCACTTTAAAGTTAATACTTTTCCAAAGTAGGTCTAGAATAACAGTTAAAAGTAAATTAAAGGCATGGAATATTAGTCCATTTGATTGGATAATGTCACCATTGTCATAATAATGCCATAAATGCAGTTATGCCTTGGATTCTTGCATAATCTTAACTAGAACTCACACTGCCTTGCCTCTGTGATCTCACAAAGCAACCTAACAATCCCATGCTTCTAGGTAGTTAGTTTCTCCTTGGGTTGGTTTAGTGACAATGATGCATGAACCTAAGAAGTTATCTTTAGATGATAAGAAAGACTCTTTGAAAAACGCGAACCCATTTCCCACCCTACGTCCTGCTGTATGTCTTTAGTCACCCACACTAGTATATTTACCTGAGAGAACATTTCTTTGAAGGGATTCTTGACTGAAAAAAAATCTAAGTCAACATCTAAAACAAAGGCATCTCCTTTCTTTAGAATCTGGAGAATCTCCCTAGCACTGGTTCTAGTTTGGCAGTCCTGAGTTTCAGAATAGCTTGAAATTGCTGGTGCTACGCAAGTTTGGGGAGCCAATTGTGATCCTGTATCCTTTTCCATTTCTTCTGCTTTTTGATCTGGACAAAGTCCTTCTGAAGAGGAAGAGTTCGTCAGTGCAGTGCTTTGTGACCCTTCTGAAGCTAACTTCAGCCTCTTAGCAGAAGGCACTGCTCCACTTTCCTCTTGACTGCTGACCAGCTGGGAAGGATTTACCAGAATTACATCCAACTCTAAAGGCTTTGGGTTCTCCAGCTGATCTTCAGAAACGTAAAGACCATCACTTAAGAAGTAATGATCTGTACTTGTAACCCTGAATCACAAGAAAACAATTTCCAAAGTGAAAAATGGGAAAATATGCTAAAATTTCAGTGTTCATGGTAGACCAGGAGACATCTAAAAACATAATATAGAAAAGCTAAATTTGGAGAAGAAATTTTCATAACTTGTAAAGTAATACCTTTAAATAAAATCTAGTATTTGAATTCAATGAACATGAGTGGTTGAAATATCAACATATTCTTAAGTTTTTAAAAAACAAGACAAGCATCAACTAATTAGCACAACCAGACATTTCCCTAGAACAACTGTCATTCAAGTAAAAATACATTTTATTTACTTTTTTTCCTCTGTAACGGGAATTTAACTTAGGTCCTTTAATGACCAAAGTCTCCTTTTTCTATAGCATCATTCATTGAATTAAAAAAAAAATAAAAAAAGAACACAAATGGATACAAATCTTTGAATTACTTGATAAGAAACCATATATAAAAGCATCCTTTACAGTCTAAAGAGGAAATAAAATTTCCACACTAACTGAAAGCTATACTAGCATATTCATAAGTGTTCTGAAGGAGAATATTTTAAAATACAACTGTACAACTTTCACTTAAAAGTTGGAAAGGCAGCCTAGTACAATGGAAAGAAGATAGGAGTGGAGAGTGTGAATCTGATTAGGGCTCAAATCCCAGGTCAGACATTTATTATCTGTGAGACCTGTGGCTTATTAGATGAGATCTCAGGTTCTTTTCTATTTCTAACATTCTGGATTAGTGTTAAATTCATGTTCTTTTAGAGAATTTAGCCAAATTTCGTTGACTATACTTCACATATATTTTGCCTTGAGGATCAACAAAGAAAGAACCCTGAGATGAAAAACTTGGGCTAGGCAATCTTTGAGATGCCTTTTAGCTAGCAGATCTGGTGATTTTTTAAGAACAGTCAATACTATTCCCACCCCCCCCCCCCCACCCCAAAGCATGTGTTGAACATCTAGCTTAAAGGGCTTGTGATTTCATTAGTGTGACAATTCAATTTGAGGAAGTAGAATACAAGCTGTGTATAACAAAGAATTAAGAGAACTGCCAGAGGCTCAGAAAAGTTTAGTGACTTGCCCATTACACTCAAGCTAATAAGTGTCAGGTCAGAGGTAGAATTCAAGCCCAGAATCTACCTGACTCCAAGCCTGGCACCCTAGACATATAATCATATTTCATTTTTATTAAGTCTGTTGGCTATCAGGTCAGGCTCACATTTTACAACATTAATTCTATAAGTTGTCCTACATACAACAGGAAAATCAACAATTTTTTTAATGTATATAAAAATACTGCCAGTACAACTTATATTTTGTGTTATAAAAAGTAGTATTTTAATGGCTTAAAGTATTTTATCTAGCCATAAATGTTTTGATATTCCAAAAGTATTATATTGGTAATACAAGATATATAGCAAAGTTTGTTGTACTGGTGTACATAATATAAACTGTGTATAACACATGCTATGATAGACATAATTTATTATATATTTTACACCTCTAAATTGTTTATAATTAATGATCTTGAAGGGCCACTCCAGCTCTAAATATGTGATCGTAAGATAGAAAATCTAATGCTATAATCAGTGTTGGTAACTGAATGAAAATGGCTGAAATAGTTAAATACAAGTGGAAAAAAAGGAATACTTTTATTTAGTAAGTTTATCTCTGACATAAAGACCTAGTTTTACCTAAAAAAGTGTATCTGGTCACTCAATTGTTGATGACAAAACAGTATGCAGTAATAAAAAGAGAAAAACAGCAACACATTATTTTTTGTGTTTTTTTTATGTTATCTTGAAAGCAAAAATACACCAAAATTTACACATTAAAATACAAATTAGCAAACAGGAAACATTTAATACTGGCAATGGTTTCAGAAAAGAATGATGAAATGGGAGTCAGAAGACCTGGCTTCGAACATTTAATCCCTCTAAGCCTAAATTTCCTCATAAGTAAAATGAGGATAATACTATTTGCATTAGCTCTCATAGTGTGAGAGAAAACTAGTTTTTAACTGAAAAACACTAGATAAATAAATTATCAGTGAGACAAAATGAGAAAACATTTGGAAAGGAAAATGAAATAAGAAAAAAGGATCTAATGTTGTATATTACATACACTATAATATAATAGGTTCTGCATTATTTAATCAAATGGCCAAAGGGACACAGCTTGTCAAAAAATTAAAGGGAATTAATGATATCACTCATGAGATAAAACAAGATTAGAATTCAGAGTTCTATTTCAGAACAAAAAATTGTAATTTAAAAGATCTGAACATCAACTTAAATTTAAAGGCAAAATATAAAAGTACTATGTGCATGTGTGAATTTAGTAAGTGCATTTGAGTGGTAGAGAGAGACTGGATGCAAATACCAGGTCTGACAATTACTAGCTGTTTGGTTCAGGCCAAGACACTGTACCTATCTAAGCCTCAGTTTTCTCATCTGTGAAAGGAGATATTAGTACTTACATCACAAGGCTGCTGGGAGGAGGGCCCTCTCTAAGCTTTCCAAGGCTACAAAGATATGAGCTACTATCACTATCCTATTTAGCTATAACTAAAAGACATATGAAGCATTTAATCCTTTTCATACCTACAGAAATGATAATGTGTTACCTGATGGTTGTAGTGGAGGTGTCTTTGCCCACTAAAAAACAATGTTTGCCCTCCTTGATTTGCTGAGCCCATGATGGATGGAGCCATATTACATGAGAAAAATGACCTGCATAAACTACAGGCATAATCCAGTTCTCAATACTCAATTCCCTAGAAAATAAATGAAAGAAGAAACATTTAAGTTATAAATTACAAAAATTTTCATTTAAATCAATTTAAATCTAGTTATAAAAATACATACTTTTACCAACATCTGCTTGGTTTACTTTAAATTCCAAACTATAGAAAATTGCTACTGAAAGAAATGAAAATAAAAGAAGTACAGTCCTCCCCCTAAGGATCAATACCCCTCCAAAAAAAAAAAAAAAAAAGAAGTGTGGTAGTGGGAAACTATAAGTGGTCATTTGTAAAAGTAAAAAGAAAAGAAAATATATAGTCACAGAAAAATGTTGAAGAAAATCTCAGCAGAATGAAGTTGGATTTGTGTCAGAAATGCAAGGATAATTCAACATTAAGAAAGTAATCAACAACAATTATTTTTAAAAGAGAGTAATGTGGCTCAGGAGATAGAGGACAGGCACCAGAGTCAGGAAGACCTGTATTCAAGTGACATCTAACATAGGTTTAATGACTTTAGGAAAGTCACAATCTCTCAGTCACTAAGGCAACTCTCTAATGCTATAAGCACAAAGTAGGGACCTCTATGCATAAGGAGGTGGGAAAGTGTGAGGATAGAATTTCCTCATCAGAAATTCAAAATACCAATGAAATCACAGGTCTAGACAAAAACAAAAACAACACAGACTATTTGATTGTATCAGTAGATGAAACACAACATATATAGATAATTTAATTATTGTGAGTGTGTAAATGTGTGTTTTTTCCCAAAAGTTAGCATTATTTGCAAGGGAGAAACACTAGAAGCTTTCCTAGTAAATAAAGGAGTAAAGGAAAAATGCCCCTTTCCCCACTGTTATGTAACATAGTCCTACAAACGTCAGCCCTAGCAGTAGACAAGAGAAAGAAAGTAAAGGCATAAGCATAGTTGAAAAAGAGACAAAATGAATCTCCATTTGCAGATAACATGATGGTTTCCTTGGACAATCTTATAAAGCAAAGAAATGGAGACAATTATAGCTTGGATAAAGGAGAATACAAAATAAATACATGAAAATAAACAGTATTTCTATATATCAACAACAAATAAAACAGAAAATAATGTTAATTTGTGGTTTTCTAAGTAAATATGTGGCTGTGGGGATTTGTTTCTATTTGAGTTTGACCCCTGTGATATAAGAGATAATCAGGAAATGCAAGATCAGAAAAGGAAGTGAGTGGACAAGTAGAAAAGGGAAGGATAACAGATGGTTAGTCAGAGTGTTCCACTGGTACCACACAAATGTACAAAAACCTAGAAGAAGGCCCAGAACACATTGGTTGAACTCTCCATGGAGGATCTTTGAAGACTACTAGCAAGAGAAAGAGGATGAGATGGAATGGATTGACTCCAACTTGCAACAAGAAGGGAGTACCATAATATTAAAGCTCACATAACCAATGAGATAATAAGGTATATTATTTATGATGGACAGCTTCATTCTTTTTCCTACAAACTTGTTGTGACATATCCTGTCATATTTTGGGGATGTTATAAGGGAGATTTAGGTTTCAGGTAAGGAGTTAGGGCCTTTGAGGTCTCTTCCAACTGAGATTCTCTAACTCAGAAAATAAGGATCATAACTGAATTTATATAAGAAAACTTCTGCTAACAGTATTTTTACTGAACCAGTCTCTAACCTAAGAATGCTTGGAGCTGCACAAAGCTGGCCTAGAGATGGGAGTGCCAGTAATCAAGTAGTTTAATTAATCAATTTCAGAATGAGGAATGTTCTTCTAGCTGAAGTAAAAACACAGGCTATGTACTTAAATCACAATTAGGGAAGGTGAATTACAAACGATAATTTAGAGATTTCCCACGAGAAACCTACAAGTCTCACAAAACAACAATTCTGGAGTCAAGTCTTTGGGGGTTATGACCACTCACAGGACCAGAGTTCTGTGATGGGAACAAGTTCTACAATCTCAGATTCCCTTCACTTAAGGTCCAGTGATTGTGAGTGGTGTCAGAGTTTTGATTAATCAGTTCAAGCTGCATTGTGAGCTGACTCCCAAGCCAGAGAGGTAGCTCTTAAGAAAACTAATTTATTGGAATATTCATTACACATAACATATTGAGTAATATGAAAATTATAAATTCCTTTCTCACTTCTCAAACTGTCCATGACCTATGACCTAGACCTCTACAACAGGATGTATACCTGAAAGAGCTCAAAGACAGAGGAAAAACCCCAAACCACAAAACAAAGTAGATGCCCATCTTTTGGGGAGTGACTGAACAAATTGTGTTATATTACTATAATAGAATATAATTTGATGTTGAAAAATGACAAACATGAGGAATTAAGAAAAACATTGGAAGATTTGTATGGACCAGAGCAGAGTGAAAGGGAATAATAATAATAAAAATAATAAATTGAATTATAACAGCAGCTCATATTTACTTGGGCTTTAAGGTTTGCAAAGTATTTTGTATACATTATGAAAACACTAAAAAGCAGTTCAAAAGATTGCTTTGCTTAAAATTTTTTTAAAATAAGCACTTATTTTCTCTCTCTATCCCTATTAAAAAAGCAAAAAGAGAAAAGTAACTTCCTTATAACAAATATGTATAGTCAAGGAAAACAAATATCCACAATGGCCATATCCAAAATGTATGTTTTATCCTACATTTGAAGTCCACCTTTCTGTCAGGAAGTGGGTAGCATTGCTCAACCCTGGTTCTCTGGAATCTTGGTTGGTCACTGAATCAATCAGGAACTCTGATTATTTGTAAATGCTCAATCTCAACCCTAGAGAACTGGTAACAAAACCATCTCTTCATTCTTTTAGTAGTGCAGTAGGATAAGCAGAAGAATATGACACTATATCAGATATAATCTTATATCTGTTGGTTTTGCTTGCATGTATTTCTTTTTAACACAAGAGGGCACATGGAGGATGGGGAAGAAACGCAGAGAGACAATGGGGTATAAAAACAAGAGGCACAATAAATCTAAAACCAAAAAAGACTGTGACTACTTTTCCACAAAACACAGCACATTACAAATGGCACAGAAAGTTATATGCTCGAGCTTTCACTCCACTCTTGTGAGTTCTGTAATTCAAAGCAAAGGAAAAAAACAAACAAACCAAAAACATATGCTGTGGTTTGATTTGACTCAGGGCAAGTTAAACTTTAAAGACAATTCTACTTCCTTAGTTACACAACATCTATAGAAAAAACTAAGTTTCAAACACATGAGAAATGACTAATATTGAATATATACTACCCGAAGAGAGTTTCCTTGTCAAACACAGTATCTGCTGGCATATTCACAGGAATAAGGAGGTCAGGATGTGAATCAAAATGAACAAAGGTTATGTTACTGGCAGGAAGATGTTTCGAGCCAATAGCTCGGTATATGAAAGGCAAGACCTGGAAGAGATAAATGGACGCATAAATGCATTGAATTGGCTTAGAGAAAAAAAAACATAAATGTATATTACTACAAACTAAAAAAACCTTAATACCATAAAAAGATAAATTTTAAATGGGAGAGATGTAGTATTATTGTTGATGATGTCCAAATTGCTATTTCTAATCAGTGCATTTGTATTCTACTCCTGCCTCTAGCAAAAACTACTTGTGTGATCTAGAAGGACTACTTAACATCTTTGGGACTTATGTCTTCTCGTTTATAAAATAAAGGTATTGAAATGGTTGATGTCTAAGGTGTTTTTTTTTCAACTCTAAAATTCTATGATTCTGTACCTAGAATGGAAGATCTTATTTTCTGATTCTTCCCTCCTATCCTCCTGGAACCCTATTAACTAACTTCTGCTTACAATTATTTCTCTAGTATATACAGGTTCTGGTGATTTAAGGCCAAGGCTTCTTAAAAATATTAGTTACAGATCTAGGGTGGTGACTGTCTGCTGAACAGGTAAAAACAAAACAATATACAAATTAGATTTTTAAAAGAATGAATGAATCACAGCTTTAAAAAGTTCAATATTACAGTCCTACTGGTTGCTACACTCAGCCTGAGATCAAGGTCCAAATACAGAGCAGGGAGTCTGCCCTTTTTCTTTCATCTACTGGGAATGAAAAGGCCATCTACAATAGGTGCCTCCACTCTCTCTCTTAATCCCTTACAGTCTGGCTTCTGATCTTATCATTCTGTCCAAACTGCCCTCTCCAAAGTCACTAATGATCTCTTAGTTGCAAAATCCACTGACCTTTTCTCAATCCTCATTCTCCTAGATCCCTCTTCAGTCTTGAACACTGTGGATCACTCTCTCCTTGATACTTAAAAAGTTTACTGATTGGAATGACTGCTAAGAAGGATACATTCCTTCCTTTTGTATTAGACTAAGGGCCTCCTCTTGACACATGTTCATGGACTTCTGAAGGTGTGTCTCACTCTGAGGGAATAAACTACAATTCTGAACTCTATCTCTCTGCTACTTGGCTACTTACTGGCATTACCAGTCAATGTACCCCAGAACAATTTTGTAATAACCCCATCTATATTTTCTTTTTTCTTGGTTGTTTGCAAGCTCTCTCCCCCATTAGATTGGAAGCACCTAGACTGTTTTGCCTTTCTTTGAATCTGAAGCTCTTAGTGCAATACCTGATACATAGAAGACATTAATAAATATTTGATTCATTCTTGACTCTGATGCAGGTTCTCTATTCATTACTCCATGCAGACCCTAAAGAGGAATCCCTACAAATCTCAAATAAAAGTAATGTGAGTAGTCCTTAAAATCATTAATACCACAGATCAATCAATTAACATTTCTTAATCACCCACTAAGTGCCAGGCACTCCGCCAAGCGCTGAGGATACTACAAAAAGACACAAAAGACAAATTCTGCCCACAAGGGGCTTACAATCTAATGGAAAAGACATGCAAAAGAAAAACTACAAGCTATACACTGGACAAACAGCAAATAAAAGAGATCGAAAGCTCTGGCATTAAGAGGGGTTGAGGAAGGTTTCCTGTACAAAGTGGGTTTTAGCTGGGGCTCAAAGGAAGCCAGGGAGGGGGAGCATTGCAGGCACGGGGGGACGTGTGGAGAAAATGCCCGGGGACAGGGGTCCCCGGAACCGGCCTGGGGCAGGGTCAGTGTTACTGGGGGGACGCGGCCGTGGGAAGGGTGGGGGCCGGCTCCGGGAGCCAAACACAACATTTTGTACTTGATCCTGGGGCTAAGAGGGAGTCACTGGAGTTTACTGAGTCTGGGGGTGACAAGGTCGGAGCTGCGCCCCGGGCTCCGAGCTCTTACCTCCTGGTGATCCTCCACCACCCACACGGGTAACTTCGGATAGAGCCTGAGCGGGGGCCGCTCGCCGGGGCACTGAGTCATGTTTGTCCGCGCTCAGAACTTCAAGGTCTCCAGAGTTCCGAGATGGAACCTCAGGCTTGCGAACGTTCCATGGGAGGACGAGAAAGAAGAGCTACGGGGAGAAATCTACAGGACCAAAACGCACGAAAACACACAGACAGTAAGGAAGAAGCGGAAATACTAGCTCTCACCCGGATGTGGAAGGAGAAAAGGCGGGCCAACCTTACTTGGCTCGCCCCGCCCCGTGAGGGACGCCCAGCGCTGATTGGATCTTCTAGACTTTACTCTTCCTGACACAACACCCTCCTTTACCAATTTCAGAGGGAACCTGGAGCGCATGCACCTGCTGCAAGGCTGCCTAGCGCGCCGCAGTCCTGCCCTTTACACCCTGGCTTCCGGTTCCGGAGCTGCGGACTCGCCTGCCGCAGCCTCGGCCCGCGGGGCTCCTCCCTGTTTTCCCCTGTGGCGGCTGCGGCAGCGGCGGCTGGCGTTCCCAGGGCCCCGGCTTCGCCCCCCGCCACCCGGCTCCCCCGGGAGCGCCCTGTAGGTAAGAAGCGAGGCCTGGATGGAACATGGTTTGCGGGAGTCTGTTCCAGGACGCGCTGTCCGCCGGCCGTCTCCCGGAGGCGGGGTGGGAGGATGCCGGCGGGGGCCGGGCTCGCTCCTCGCCGCGGTGGGGCTTGGAGCTGCCCCCTGCCCCTCTCCGGCCTAAGTGATCCTCCGCCACTCCCGCCCAGGAATCCGGGGACTAGGGAAAGTGACCCCCAGGGATGCCTCTGAAGGCGTGGGGGTGGGCCGGCGGCGCTGGCGACCTCAGATTTCTCTTCTTTGATTCATAGGTTGCCATGGGCAAAGAATTCATCACCCAATGGACAGCCTGCTGGTGATGAGCCTCTGTGCGGAGCTGGGTTGGTCCTTGAAAAGCAGTCAGTCAGCTTTTTGTTGTCGCTGCATGCATGCGCATTACATAAATAACCCCTCCTTTAGCCCTAATCTCCTCTAAGGGGTCTGTCTAGAGAGCTGGCCCTGCTTTCCAGATGGCTTACTTTGGGGGCGGGTGGGGGCAGGTAATTTTCTCATTTGATGGTTTTGGAATTTTCCAGTTCATGCGTTAGTTTACTGTGTCTTTGAAAGTTTAATTTAGTGATCGTTTCATTTATAAATTTAAAAATTTCAAGAAGTGTAGTGTATGGATGGAAGTGTTAGAGTCAGGAAGATGTAGGTTCAAATCCTTTTTTTTTAAAGGAGTAGCTGGGCAAGTTACATGACATCGCTCAGTTTTAGTTTCTTCATCTATAAAATGGGGATAATAGTACTTAGCCTTTCTGGGTTGTGGTGAGGATCAAATGAATTAACATATGTAAAATGCTTTGCAGTCCTTAAAGTGCCATATAGAGCACTGTTTTGAGATTATTGTTGTTATATGTTGAGCTATTTCGTTGTAGACAAGGCAGTGAGGAAAGCACCATACAAAATTGCTATAAAAGTATTTCTTCCCATGCAGTAAAAATTTCTGTCGTATTTAGATAGTTGTGATTTCTGTATCTATATAGCCAGTCTTATTTTCTCTCCTGAAGTTCATTCCTGCCTTACTAAACTGCCTAGTTGACATGTCAAACAGAATGTCCATAAAATCAACATGACGAAAACTCAACTCATCCCATTAAATGTAAGCTCCTTGAGAGTAGAGATTGATTCCTTCTTTGTGTTTGGATCCCTATTGCCTACCATAGTGCTGGACACATAGTAGACAGTTAAATGCTTGTTGACTGATTAACCTTCCCCCAAAATTAATGAAGCTTCTGAACCTCTCTATTTCTGTTAGTACTATTATCCTTACAGTTACTCAGGTTTGCAACCCTAGTGCATTCTTGACTAACTCCTCACTCTCATTTATTTTTTTATGGTAATTTTTATTTATTTTTTTGTTTTCAACATTTACTTCCACAAGATTTTGAGTTCCAAGTTTTCACCCCATCTTGCTCCTTCCCCCACCCCAAGATGGCATGCATTCTAAATACCCCTTCCCCTAGTCTGTCTTCCCTTCTATCTCTCCCCCCCCTTCTCTTATCCCCTTCCCCTTCAATTTTCCTGTAGGGCAGGATGGATTTCTGTACCCCATTTCCTGTATTTCTTATTTCCCAGTTGCACGTGAAAACATTTTTTTTGAACATGTGTTTTTAAAACTTTGGGTTCCAAATTTTCTCCCTTCGTCCTTCCCCATCCACCCTCATTGATAAGGCAAGCAACTAAATATAGGTTATATATGTGCGGTTATGCAAAGCACTTCCATGGTAGACATGCTGTGAAAAACTAACTCTATTTCCCTTAATCCTATCTTGCCCACCCATTTATTCTCTTCTTTTTTTTGACCCTGACCCTCCTCAGAAGTATTTGCTTCTGATTACTCCCTTTCCCAATCTGCCCTCCTTTCTATCATTCCCCTACTGTCTTGTCCCCTTCCCACCCTATTTTCCTATAGGGTAAGACAGATTTCCACACCCAATTGAGTGTGTATGGTATTCCTTCCTTAAGTCAAATTCTATGAGAATAAGATTCACTCATTCCATCTCACCTTCCCTTGTTTCCCCTCCACTGTAAGAGCCTTTTCTTTTCTGTTTTTTTTTTGTGTGTGTGTGGGGGATAATTTACCCTGTTCTACCTCTCCCTTTCTTCTTCTCCTAGTATATTCCTCTCTCACCCCTTAATTTTATTCTCCAGATATGACCCCTTCATTTTCAACTCAACCCTGTGCCCTCTATCTAAATCTATATATACGTACATATAATTTTTTCCCCTCCAACTAATCTAATACTGACAAAGGTCTCATGAGTTACAAATATCATCTTTCCATGCAGGAATGTAAACAGTTCAACCTTTATAAGTCTCTTATGATTTCTCTTTCCTGTTTACCTCTTCATGTTCCACTGGAGTCTTGTATTTGAAAATCATATTTTCTATTCAACTCTGGTCTTTTCATCAAGAATGCTTGAAAGTCCTCTATTTCACTGAATGACCATTTTTTCCCCTGCAGGATCATACTCAGTTTTACTGGGTAGGTGATTCTTGGTTGTAATCCTATCTCCTTTGCTCTCCGGAATATTATATTCCATGCCCTGTAGTCCCTTAATGTAGAAGCTGCTAAATCTTGTGTTATCCTGATTGTGTTTCCACGATATTTGAATTGTTTCTTTCTGGCTCTTTGCAATATTTTCTCCTTGACCTGGGAACTCTGGAATTTGGCTACAATATTCCTAGGAATTTTCCTTTGGGGATCTCTTTCAGGAGGAGATCGGTGGATTCTTTCCATTTCTATTTTGCCCTGTGGTTCTAAAATATCAGGACAATTTTTCCTTGATAATTTCTTGAAAGATGATGTCTAGGCTCTTTGTTTAGATCATGGCTTTCAGATAGTCGAATAATTTTTGAATTATCTCTCCTGGATCTATTTTCCAGGTCAGTTGTTTTTCCAGTAAGATATTTCACATTGTTTTCTAATTTTTCATTCTTTTGGATTTGTTCTATAGTGTCTTGATTTCTCATAAAGTCACTAGCTTCCAGTTGCTGTATTCTAATTTTTAAGGAAGTATTTTCTTCAGTAATCTTTTGGACTTCATTTTCCATTTGGCCAATTTTGCTTTTTAGGGCATTCTCCTCATTGACTTTTTGGACCTCTTTTGCCATTTGGGTTAGGCTATTTTTTAAGGTGTTATTTTCTTCAGTATTTTTTTGGGTCTCCTTTAGCAAGCTGTTGACTTGTTTTTCATGATTTTCTTGCATCACTCTCAGTTTTTCCTTTACTTCTCTTACTTGCTTCTCAAAATCCCTTTTGAGCTCTTCCAAGGCCTGGGACTGATTCATATTTTTCTTGGAGGCTTTGGATTGTAGGACCTTTGGCTTTGTTGTCTTTTTCTGGTTGTATGTTTTGATCTTTTTTGTCACCAAAGTAAGATAATATAGTCTGACTCTTTTTGCACTGCTTACTCATGATCCCGGCCAATTTCTTGAGTTTTAAACTCTTTGTTAAGTTTAAAGTCTGCTTCCAGTGTGGAGAATGTACTGTCCCAAGCTTCGAGGGTTTGTACAGCTGTTTTCAGAGGTACTTCTAGGGACCTGTAAATTTTCAGTTCTTCCAAGGTGGTATGATAAGGGGGGAGGTGTTTTCTCTCTACCACCACAACAAGGTCCACCACGCTAGCGCTCTTCCTCGCCCCAGGACCACCCCTCATAACTGTGACCCAGATCCAAGCACGGGCAAAGCAAGAGATTCCTGCCTTAGCAGTGGCAAAGAGATCCCTGCAATCCTCCTCTGATCAGCCACTTGATTTCCCCTCAGTCTGTGGCCAGAAGCTCAGGAGGCAGCCACTGCCCCGGGCCACACTCGAGACTTGAGGCTGAGACCTAGCTCCTCTCTAACCCCAGTCACAGACTTTTCCCACTGACCTTCAAAGTTGTCTTTGGCGTTCAGGGGTTGAGAAGTCTGGAAACCGCCACAACTGCCTGCGATTCAGTCTCTGAGGCCTGCACCAGGGTCTGCAGCCTGCGTGCCCACAATGAACTGCGCTCCTCTCCCTGCCCAGTGCGGTATACCTTTCCAATCAACCATCCAGGCTGTCTTTGGCTGGAAATTTGTTTCACTCTGTCTTTTTGTGGGTTCTGCTGCTATAGAATTTGTTTAGAGCCATTTTTTATAGGTATTTGGAGGGGTTTGGGGGGGAGTGCTCAAGACAGTCACTGCTTTCCGTCTGCCATCTTGGCTCTGCCCCCCTCTCTCATTTATTTTATAAATCTCATCAGTTGTCAACTCTTGTACTTCTACCTCCACAATTGCTCCTCCTCTCCAGTTGTCCTGTTTCTGTTGTCTTTCAGGGCTTTATGAGGTCTCAACTAGACTTGAAATAGCCTACTAGTTGGTCTCTCAGGTCTTCCTACTTGCGTTCATCATTCCGTTCTCCACACAGCTGCCCAAGTGATTTTCCTAAAGTATAAGGCTGACCATGTCACTCCACTACTGAGTAAAATCCTGGTGACTCCCCAAGATCAAATTAAAACTCTATTTGGATTATAAAACCTTTCACAAATTTGTTTCAATTTAACTTTCTGCCTTATAAGTTACTCCCTTTCATATATACTGTGGTTCAGCCAAACTTGCCTTCTTAGTGTTTTTCACATACGAT